GTAGATATCTACGGGCTCCGGTAACCACTTAATACCAGGTGGGCTGTGAGCTCGTCTACCAATCTAAGCAATAAAAAAAAAGAGAAACATTTCATTTCCATCACTCACTTTGCTGCTCGAGGTAGAAAACTCAATTCCATTTGAAATAGCTCCCCATTAATGCGACATTGAGGATTTGCACCAAAAACACGCTACGTTAGGCATAGAATCGTACGAAACTTCATCAGATCCAATAACCCTTGCATTAGACGCCTTTAGCCCTAACACTAGAAGCAGGCTTAGGGACCCCGGTAACCGTACTCGTCGAACTCGACAAAGAGTTCGAAGTGCAACCTAACTTAAGCATCAGCCCACTGAGTTTCTCGCCTGATCCTCTCAGCGAGTCGCGGTTCCGATCCGGTAGTAGATTAATTCGCGAAGCAATTACTCTTGAGCTAGGTCTCCCTTGGAGGCGCTCGGGCAGTTATTAGCAAATCCCACCCCTCCTGGCTGAGCTCTTGCTCGCCCATCTGTCCTTGTGAAACTGAAAAGGCATTTGGGCCATCAGTAATCAATCATTTAAAAAAAAATCGTTCGAAAACTCCTAGTCCTTCGTCGTGGAAGTCATTCTGTTAAAATAAGTAGGTACATATAGATTCGATCCACGAATAGTCACGTAATTCGACACAGAGCTTTGCAACCATAAAGCTTTACCAGCCTTGTGTGCACACGAAAGCCTTCGGGGAGTACGTCTTTTGAATAGTTTAAAAGGTGGTAACTGAATTACATGGTTCTTCACTGTGATCAAAATGTAATATTTCAATATACTTAAGGCTTTATCTAATCTGACTGAAGGTATGCATTTTACGTGCACAGTTGACGCAGAGGTCGCTAAAGGTTGAATTTTAGATAACGTCTTCATGACTTTGGTTTGCGTCTTGGAACTTCCATATTGAATCAGTTATATCCTGTAAAATGCTTTTTTAATTCTGTAAAACCTTGGCTGGGGAAAGCCCCCCCTATTACACCTGTTCATAGTTATGTTCAACGTTGGCAGCAGAGAGAGAGAAGGAGAGAGTGAGAGAAAAAGAGGGAGAGAAAGAGAGGGAGAAAACAAGAATCAGAAAAATATAGAAACAGATGCGTTAATATTGCCTTAACCTTCAAAAGTATGACCAAAAGTGTATAATTTCTGCCAGATATTTGTAAGTTTTTATTTGTCGTTCCTGGGATAGATGCCAAATGATCACGACCTCATGTCGGTATCTACGAACGAAATAGAAACTAATAGCAAACTTTGGCAGAAGACACGTTGGTATTGTGGATATTCTGCCGTCAAAGTTAGCGTTATCTCTCTTTCTACTACGTTCGTGGAATGAGAGTCAAGTACAGGGTATCCAAGAATATCCAAGAACGACACCCCTAAACTCATTGGCAGTCTGTGGCCGTAAAAATTACCAGCGGTTGGGGATATCGATATCCAGCAGAGGGATAGGATACCCTTAGAGTGCCAGTGTTCCTTCCACTAGATACTCCAGAGGTTCAGCTCTGAATCCATAGTATTGATTTGATTCGTTGCAGTTTTCTGAGAATAACTCAGTATCTTCGAATCGGCACAGATACGAAAGTCTGTATTTTAATGAGTTAGAGTCCATTGCGACTTTTAAGCCTTATAGAACACTCTGAACCGGTCATCTCTTCCCTTGGAGATGAAGTTTGAACTGAGATTCCAATTTAGTCCTGTCTTCAGCTGTCCTCAGGCGTTTCTTAGCAGCCACCCTTTGCGAGTCACCCCATTTGTTTTAGTCCCAGTATTACTCTGATTTGAGATTATGCAACGTGTAATGCTGAGTTTAGTAAATTTTTTTATTGCTTCGATAGGTGGACGAGATCACGGCCCACCTGGTGTTAAGTGCTTACAGGAGCCCATAGACATATCTACAACGTAAATGCCGCCACCCACCTTGAGACATGAGTTCTAAGGTCTCACTTTTAACAGTACAATGGCTGCCCCGCCCTTCAAACCGAAACGCATTACTGTTTCACCGACTCACAAGACGTCCTACCAGTTTTACCAGTAAAACATACACAGTATTTGTTCACAAGTGACTCATGCATGCTCATGAGTACTTTTTTTTTTTATTGCCTTTGTAGGCAGACGAGCATACGGCCTACCTGACGGTGAGTGGTTACCGTCGCCCATGGACTTCAGCAATGCCAGAGGCAGAGCCAAGCCGCTGCCTACCGGAGTACATGCTTAGTATGTTCGCATTTTCAGTTTCCACGAGAAAAACTCAAGAAACTTCTGTGACAGATAAGTGACCATTACTTTTTTGTTTCTCTGCATACTGTAGCTATACTTGAGATCTTAGAACTTATATCTCAAAGTGGGTGGCGCATTTACGTTGTAGATGTCTATGGACTTCAGTAACCATTCAACACCAGGTGCGCTGTGAGCTCGTTCACCCATCTAAGCAATAAAAAAAATACTGAACGCGCTAACAGACGTATAGAATTATACAAAAAAATACCTCCAAAAACAATTAATGATATCGCATCGTGAATAAATAAGAGTATTATTTTTTTTAATAAGCACCATTAATTAATGCGTTAAAACGTAAATTGAAAAACAAGTCGATCAGGTCAGTCAGAAGTCGTTTGTTACAATATTATTTTATATAATTAAACGCTAAACGCAGATGTGTTTTTCACCTACAATTACCCTATAAATAAATAAATAATGTTTGCGGGTTTGTTTTTTCTTTATTGGTACGTTCGCAGATGATACAATAGATTTGGAATTTTTATTTTGGTTCGCACTTAGAGGGAGCTTCTCTTAATGGAACCATCAAAGGAAGACAGGTGGCGCACGAGAAGAAGAAATAGGAACGCTGAATGAACGGACTCACCATCCGCCTGGTCCAATATGGCTTGAGACATGAGGTCTAAACCTCAATCGTATTCTATTCATATAATAATCTGTGTGTATTCTTGGATGTCTTTCCATAAAACCGGCAGTTATTTAACGTATGTGGCTGGTGTTTTTGGGTACCTCAAGCACCTGTTGACGACTAAACTAACCCATAGACACGGCCCACTGAGTTTCTCGCCGGATCTTCTCAGTGGGTGGCGTTTCCGATCCGGTGGTAGATTCTGCGGAGTGCATTATTCTTGCTAGGGCTAATGTTAGCAATATCGTTAGAGTCCCAGCACGAACATCTCGGTCCTACAACATCTTAAAATGGAGAACGCTCAACGCTTGTCTACCACCTGTCTGCAACGCATATACGCTACTTTGGCCACGTTGCCCGCAGAGGTGTAGACAGCTTGGAACGTCTGATGGTCACTGGAAAAGTAGAAGGAAAACGCCCTAGAGGCCGGAGCCGCAAACGTTGGTCCGACCAGATCTCCGAGCAAACCAGCGGACCACTTAGCGCTGCCCTACACCAGGCAACTGACCGGAACCGATGGAGGCTGGCAGTCGACAAGCTGAAACGGAGTCACGATCCTCAGCAATGAGGGAGCGATGGAGAAGAAGAAGAGCCCCATGAGCTCACCTATTCGTTCGGTTACGCTGGCATAGCCTCTCAAGGCTACCAAGTTAGGTAGAAAAACAAATCGGTTGATACAATCACTACTGCTATTCGCAAATAAAACGCTTTATGACAAGCTTGATGATCGGAGACCGTCAGACGCTGAACTCCTGGCGATGCATAAAAAGAAATGAGTTTTAAGCCACCAAGGATAAGGAAATCTCGCGAAAAATACAAAACGTGTTCACAGGACAGGTATGAAACTTGAACGAGCAGTGAAGAATGCCTTATCTTATCGTATTTTAGTCTAAAAAAATCCACAAATAAGATTTTCGTTTTTCGTTGTGAAACACGAAGTTGTGACAAAATAAGATTTGTAAATCTTAATACTGGTTGAGAGTGTAGATTGAACAAACGGGAAAGTACCACCGTCCGACTCGCTTCTGCCACCAAGCAGACGCGCAATACGACTTCAAGGACTGTAATGTCTAAGGATTTTAATGATCGTTAAATATATATATTTTTTTATTATTTAGATGGGTGGACGAGCTCACAGCCCACCTGATGTTAAGTGGTTACTGGAGCCCATGGACATCGACAACGTAAATGCGCCACCCACCTTGAGATATAAGTTCTAAGGTCTCAGTATAGTTACAACGGCTGCCCCGTCCTTCAAACCGAAACGCATTACTGGTTCGTGGCATAAATAGGCAGGGCGGTGGTACCTAACCGCGCGGACTCACAAGAGGTCCTACGACCAATAAACCTAGGAATGGCGATATAGCGGCTTCGACCCGTCAGCTCACAATATTATGTCCAGTCAGCTTTAATTACAAAAGCATTTAATATTTTAACTGCGTACAAAAACGCTGTAAGCTGAAGTTAACAATAAACACATCACTAAAGTATCATTTCATTGCACCTACCATTATTTACTCTGCACTACCTTTGGTTGACTGGTAGAGATTGCTTTAGGCATTAAGTCAGCTAATGTAAATTTTACATGAAGTGTAATAAATAAACACATAGATAAATAAATTAATTCATTAATTAAATTAAAATTAAATAAAGTATCAACTGTCGCGCAAGCTACTAATAGAAAGTAAACAAAAAAAATACAATAAGAATTTAACCCAAAAATAATAATAATAAATTCTAATGAATATACTGAATCGAGCACTGAACAAAATAAATATTTCCGAATTAAAACTTCCGAATAAAAAGAAAAACAAAACCTTCATATGATTATATTAATGTCATATAATATGGCCGCCTCGGCGTTTACGAAAACTCAAAACAATTGAAAGGAAAACCGAATAACTGAACAAGAAACACGTTAACCAAAAAAAAAAAAACACGGACCAAACATTTCAGCTTCAGCCTCTAACTTTCCCCGATATTTTATAGACAACGTCACTAAATACGCATTTTAATCGAGATAATTAATTAATAAAATTATTTTTCACACTCGCACACACAAACACACACCTGAGAACGAACTATCTGCCCGCACGTCAGTAGCAGAAGGCACGAGATACATCCCCGCGCTCCCATCGTGAACTGCACTAGTGTTTAGATGTGATCTATGCACCGCACTGCACCGGCCGACTGTTTCGATTCTCTTTCAAGAAATGTAATGACACGTCCGATATATAGACATTTCAATTTAGGTATAGATATATATACGTATATTAGTTTGAGCTAGCATTTATCCGCGGGTTCATGCGCGCTTTGAAACTATTATTGCTTATATTGGTGTGCTGGCGGCACAATAGCAACCCATAGCAACTTGACTATACGTATTTATGGGCGGATTTGATTTTTATGACACGATGCTCTTCCTTCATCGTGGAAGTTTTTCGAGTTTTTTTTTTTATTGCCTTTGTAGGCAGACGGGCATACGGCCCACCTGATGGTGAGTGGTTACCGTCGCCCATGGACTTCAGCAATGCCAGGGGCAGAGCCAAGCCGCTGCCTACCGCTTAATACTCTCCACAAGCCTCGTTTGAAGAAGGACATGTCATAGCGCTCGGGAAACACCGGTGGAGGGGAGCTCATTCCATAGCCGGATGGTATTGGCAAATATTGCATATCATACACCTAGAATCTTATCCTTTAGAACAATAAATACTATGAAATTAATAATAATAAAAAAACAGCTCCAGAGATTTGCATGTAGAAATTCGAAAGTTCGAAATAGCATTTTTGAAGTTATACTTCTTTAGGCGCGTTATGAAAAATTGATGAGAGTGAAATTTTACGATGCGCGCGCACCGTGACACAAAATTAACAGAATTAAGTTGCCCACTAAATCGCGCATTACAATACGACCGACGTAACTTGGCGAGTCTGAATATAGCCGCAGGTGAACTTTCGCCTGTGTACACTCGTAAAAGAAAGTGTTATTAGCATTCATTTTTTAGTAATATAAATGACAAAATTATTATTTAATATAATTCATACTAAATATTATTAAATTATTAACGTTAAATATTTATTATTAATTATTTAATATTTAAAAAAAAAGAAATAAATTTAATAAAAATAAAGTATGACTTCTTACGCGCGTATATAAGTAGGTACACGTACCCTTTTTTCTTGTGTCTTCACACAAATAAACTTAGAGAATCAACGAAATTATACCCATAATAAAATCTAATATTTAATTTAATGAATAGTTCATTCCATTGCTGTATCTATGAGCACCGTGCACACCTAAGAGAGGTTGGGAAATAAATTTATAAAAAAAAAAGTATACTTACATATTATGTGTACTACAAATGTATACAGTAAAAGAAAATGTTTCTATGTGTTATAATTTTCAGGGGCATTAAATCAAATCAAAATAATAAAAAAAACATTTTTACCACCCTTGAACGTGACACATGCTGTCCCTAGCTCAGTTCAATATAGAAGCAGTTTCTTCAGCATCAGCAGTGTAATCGAAAATAAATAACATTTAAAAAATGATCAAGAATCACCTTTAGGAACATAAGTTAGAATGATCATGATTAAAAATAAGACTTCAAATTCTGTTAGTTTAAATGCAATATAGTGATTAATTACTATGCGTAAAGTAAATTATCGTAGCAATCATTATTAATATAATAATGATTGCTACGAGTATGTTTAATTATATATATAAATAAATAAATAAATATTATCGTAAAAATGTGATTTTTCGAAAAAGGTACATCCGAACATAACACGTTAGATCCGTTATACTTTACAATGGAAACATCGACCTCATGTCCCAAGGTATGTGATCCCTATCCATCATCATGTCCGTAGACCCTCACATTTATTGTGGGAAGGTCAGAAGGGAATCACGATCAGACATAACATTTTTCAGCGATGCAACGAAATTTAGACATATTACTTGTAAAACATAATAATATTTAGACGCATATGAAAATTATTGTTATACAATTAGACTTTTCTCGAGCAAATAATTTGGACGCCTGATTTTAAAAGTTTTTTTTTTTCGGCTTAGATGGGTGGACGAGCTCACAGCCCACCTGGTATTAAGTGGTTACTGGAGCCCATAGACATCTACAACGTAAATGCGCCACCCTTGAGATATAAGTTCTAAGGTCTCAGTATAGTTACAACGGCTGCCCCGCCCTTCAAACCGAAACGCGTTACTGCTTCACGGCATAAATAGGCAGGGTGGTGGTACTTACCCGTGCGGACTCACAAGAGGTCCTACCACCAGTGAAACAAAAGAACTAGTATTTTCATACAACTGTTCTTTTCCCCTCCAAAATTTTCCTTTAAATTATTAACATCCTATTGAATAATGTAACCCTAAATTAGTTACACTTTATTATATTACACATTACATAATATATTACGGGCATGCACCATAAAATACTCAAGATGTCAAATAAAGATTGGCAGTAAAATATTTACATAATATGTATTATGTATGAAGCAGTCATATATATCTAAAAATACCTTATATACAATGTCATTGTGAATGCAACAACATAATTTTATGCTACTCAATCTATATTGGTCAATACAGACCCAGAGATCGTTACCGAGTCGCATACAATGGTATTATTTTGTTCACAACTGCGCTATTAATGAAAATGAGATAACTTCAAAATGGCTCATGCAAAAAAATAAAATTTTGGCGCGAATTCGAATGAGTACTGAAAAAATGTGGTTGAAATTCTTTATTTTAGTCTGGTAGCATTCTCAGGCTGACCCGGTTTGTTTTAAACAAGGAAGAACTTAAATTTATGGAGTACACATGTTAAGCAGAACTCTTTACAGAACCCGGTAGCTAAGTCCTAAGCTGTGAGAGAATAGGTGAAGATAATTGGACGGTAAAATCAAGGGTAGTAAAAGAAATACAATTATTTTATCCAGCTTATCGTTAGGTACATATGCGTTTTATTTATAAAATATAGAATGTATAAATTGGTGATTTTGATGGAGCTTGCCGTTTAAACCTTATGTACATTTTATTGCCGGCATGAGTACATATGCATGTAGGATACTTAGGTACTGCTTAATTATGTCGCGAAACATACGTGTCCTAATTCCCAGATTGGGCAAGTGCTAGGCCTAAAATTTCAAAAATTAAAAAAAAAAAACAAAAAATTTCGTATCGCCGGCGGCCGCCGCGCCGGTCCGGCGTTTGGGTGACGGCGGGATGGATGTAATATGCTCTGCGTAAACCCTGTCCCGCCGTCTCAGTAACTCCGACTGGGCTCCGGCCCGGTCCGGGGTAGGGCGCCGGCTGTGAGCGGCAGGAGTTTTAGTGAGGTTGAACTCCCACATAGCCACCCACTGCGCGGATAGGGAACCGGAGATTTTCTCCCGAAGGAAAAAAAACGTTTTGTGGTGTGTCAATTATTCTGATATCTACAAGCCCAATTAAACCTTTAACGCCAGCAGAGCTGCGAGCACGTTAGCCTGTCTAGAGCAATGACAGAAAAATGGACAGAAAACTTTGTCTACTGACGTCATAACCTCAATGAATAGTCAAAGAGGTACACATTGGGACTGGCTTTTTTTAAGAAGAAAGGATTTATAGTGGTCTAGAGGTCTTTCCAGGTTCACCAGCACAGGTGGGCGAGTACAGACTCTGCTAAGAGGGATGAGATTTGCTAACAGCTACCTGAACTCCTTCGAAGATCGATCTCTTCTGAACAAGAGATCCAGCTCGGATCGGAATCGTTACCCTCTGAGAAGATCCGGCGAGAAACTCAGAGACCGGATGTATGGGTTAAGTTGCACGTTTATCTCTATCCCGAGTTCGAAGAGTATAGTTACGAGGGTCCCTTAGCTGAAGGCGTCTAATGATAGAGTTAGTGGACATGATGGATCCGTAGGGACGTGTCTAGGGCGTCGACGGTGGTCCAATAATTCAAAACTTGTATATATCTTGAAAATGTCGTAAGCGAGATTCAGGCATCTGTCAAATGTCTTCTGTTGTATGATGGCTACCCGCCACACGCCTTAACTTCGTTTGAGTAACGGATAGCGATTGCGTAAACCTGTCTTTGGAGTAATAGACGCAACAGTCAATTTAATGTCATTGCACATCGTAAAATCGTGATCTGTGAATTTATTTTATGTTGAATTTAGTCGATGAATATGCCTGCATATGTGTGCATATGTGAGAAGTCTGTAGTCGTCACGATCGACTTGAAACACGCGGTAATTGGTAAATATTGAACATGTAAATATTAAGATTCTTTTATTATTACATACCGGGCTCCGATGAAATCTCACCACCGATAGCCAGAAGAGGAATCAAATTGAATTATATATAAATCTTAGCACGAACAGATGTCAGCTATTTGCTGTTGATTAAAATAGAACCTTAGGCTAAATTAAGAGAGTAAAGTTCATGATTGTCCGACCTTATATCTGTATTGAGCGTTATGGCATATGAAGCGAAACAGCAGAATAAGCCTAGTCAGAATAAAAAAAAAAATTGTTTATCTACGTATGATTTCCGTTTGAATCAGACGATATTCAATATGATATTTTTTTAGTGAATCCGCGCTGGCGACGTAATGGCATCGTTTAGGTTATTTTTCGTGTAGATAAATGTATTTTCTTAATCATTTAGTAAAATGCAAAAACAGTTGTGTAAACACGTCTGAGTGGAATAGGGCTGGGAAAATTCGTAGTTTGATGTGGTATCGATGTGGTAAATATGTTTTTCGGGTTACAAAGAAATTCAGGCCCTATCGTATAGGAACCCAGAATATACAAAAACAGCTTCATCCCTTGTCTAGAGATTTAAAGGTTAAACTCATTTGCCTTTCATATAAAGCAGACTGCTAGATCAAATTTCTTTTTTTTTTTATTGCCGTATAGTCAGACGAGCATACGGCCCACCTGATGGTGAGTGGTTACCGTCGCTCATGGACTTCAGCAATGTCAGGGGTAGAGTCAAACCGCTGCCTATTGTTAAGTACTCTCCGCAAGCCTCGTTTGAAGAAGGACATGTCATAGCGCTCGGGAAACACCGTGGAGGGAGCTCATTCCAAAGTCGGATGGTACGTGGCAAATACGATCTCTGGAAACGCATTGTGTTTCACATGATAAGCACTATAATAACACGGGGAAAGTTCATTTTGCTTTGCGATTCCGTCACGAAAAACCTACCTTGTTATAGTGCAATTTTCAGTTAATATCGCGCAACCCTAACCTATGAAGGCTATGACATCATACGTTTTCAGTAAATGACTAACAAATTATACGAAACGTACAGACAAACAAATCGTTTGTTTTATTATGCGACCGTGATGATTACTAATCGCTTAGATATTTTAAAAGAAAAATATGACCCATTTTTGGATTGTTTTTTTTAATATAAACACAATTACTTGATTGATCATGTTTGTGTGTTTGAAGGCGTTTTAGATAAGTTATTTGGATAGTCTCGTTTTTAATTATGGGCCCATTTTATATAAAAATGTTTTCCGGCCCCAAAAGATTCTTTAGAAAGAGAAAATCGATAAATTTTAATCATTATCTCTATCGCACATGTTACTTAAGTAGCGCGCGACAGAGATGACACTCAACAAAGCCGAAACTAGCCGATTATCTCTTTCTAAAGGACGATTTGCAATATTTATCGGCGGGCACTGTAACACCAATAATTGAGGCCTATAAAATCAAAGGCAGCTAAATCCAAGTTTGTCAAATATTCAGTTAAACTACAAAAATCGACCCCAAAGACGTCATTACGGATCCTACCGATCCATCTATCCAGTAAAAATAAAATTTTTGAACTGAATTTGTTAAGAGATTTGTTTATAACATGAAAACACTAAAGCGTGTCCAACTAAATAAACAAGATAGCGCCATTGTTAATCCATTTTACGACATTATGGCGTTTAGCTGCCTTTGATTTTATAAGGCTCAATTATTGTATATTGCATTTGCATTGAAGGAGAAGTCAGCTAGCGTAATGCAATGTTTTGAAAATATAATTCCATCTACTTATTGTCTTCGACGCTAAATTTACCGCGAAGCCACATTTCATGGTTTAATGTGATGAAAATACAAAAATTTCCATAATTTTCTACAAGAACAATAAGGCCTTTATATTGTACGGGGCAAGTGAACGAAAGGAAAGGACATGTGGTTCGAATGAAGGAGATCAGAATGCCAAGACAACTGCTCTATGGCAAAGCAGAGGGCCGCAGAAGTCGTGGCAGACCCAAACTCCGATGGTTGGATGGCGTAGAGTGCGACCTCAAAGTTATCGGTGTCAGGAACTGGAAGGAGAAGGCCCTGTACAGATCAGTCTGGAGAGACATACTGGACCAGGCTATACCCACCCTGGGCTGTAAGGCCTAAGATGATGATGAAGTGAACGAAAATTCTATCTGGCGTTTAGCGGTTACCGGAGCCCATAGACGTTAATAACATGAGTTAATTTTTTTGTGACTCGTAATCCCTCGATTACTGGTGGTCCGGAGGCTTTTCCAGTTCACCAGGACAGGTGGGCGAGCAAAGGCTCAACCAGGAGGGGTTTTTGAAGTCGTCGTGGCCTAACGGATAAGACGTCCGGTGCATTCGTGTTGAGCGATGCACCGGTGTTCGAATCCCGCAGACGGGTACCATTTTTTCTAATAAAATACGTACTCAACAAATGTTAACGGTGAAGGAATAACATCAGGTAATAAAAATGAAACCCGCAAAATTATAATTTGTGTAATTACTGGTGGTAGGACCTCTTGTGAGTCCGCGCGGGAGTAATGCGTTTCGGTTTGAAGGGTGGGGCAGCCGTTGTAGCTATACTTGAGACCTTAGAACTTATATCTCAAGGTAGGTGGCGCATTTACGTTGTGGATGTCTATGGGCTCCAGTAACCACTTGACACCAGGTGGGCTGTGAGCTCGTCCACCCATCTAAGCAATAAAAAAAAAGGGGTGGGATTTGCTAACAGCTGCCCGAGCGCCTCCAAAGGAGACCTAACAACTTAGGAGTAGTTGATTCGCGAATGAATCTACTATCAGATCGGAATCGCAACCCGCTAAGAAAATCCGGCGAGAAACTCAGCAGGCTGATGCATGGGTGAAGTTATACGGCTACTCGGGTCCCTAAGCTTTCTCTTAGTGTTAGGGCTGCAGGCGTCTAATGTAACAGTTATTTGGACCTGATGGATATTCCGCAGGTTTGTTGATAAAAATCTATGCGTTCACCGCATTCCACAGCTGCCTATGCAATGACGCATTTATTGCAATAAAGATAATTGCTGAACACGAGTGCATTAAATTCCTTTGATAATAATATTTCTCGGTGTTGTTTATTAATGATTCCTACTTACATGTACTAAGGTACATACTCGTGATGTCGTCTTCCTCGTTACCTACTGAGGGTTATGATTCTTCATATGTGTGATTCATTTTTGATCACCCACAGACACAACCCGCTGGGTTTCTCGCCGGATCTTCTCAAAGGGTCGCTATTGCTTTGTCTCTCAGGCTGAGTCCCGTGAACTCACCTACCAGTTCGGGGAAACCAGAATAACCCCTCGAGGCTACTGGTAACTAGATAACAAAAAAAAGAAAACTGTACTTTATACTTTATGCTGCTTGCTTGGAGTTGAGAATTGAGCGAATTTGGTTCGGAACGTCTGATTGGACCGCGACATTTTGGTCTTCGTCCATCGACCAAATAGAGTCCAAGGTCAGTAAGGTAAGTATGGCTATTATTATTATACTCTGGATCAAAACGGCACATTTGGCTTGTTTTTCCTACCTAAGCTGATAGCCTTGAGAGGCTATGTCAGCATAATTCGGCTACTGATTTGAATACTGATTTGTAGTCATCGTGGCTTATAGATTAAGACGCCCGGTACATTCGTATCGTGCGATGCCACAGTACCGGTGTTCGAATCCCGCAGGCGGGTAACAATTAATCTAATAAAATAAGTCCTTGAAAGATTATCATGAGCGACTTCCACGGTGAAGGAATAACATCGTGTAATAAAATGAAACCACTAAAAATTATAATTTGCGTAATTACTAGTCATAGGACGTCTTGTGAGTGAGTCCGCACGAGTAGGTACCACCACCCTGCCTATTTCTCCCGTGAAGCAGTCGTTTCGGTTTGAAGGGTGGAGCGGCCGTTGTACTGTAAAACTTAAACCTTAGAACTCAAGTCTCGAGATGGGTTGGCATCCACATGGTTAATACCTATGGTCTGGCTCCGGCGACAGCTTAACACCAGATAGGTAGGTCCATCTTAGTAATAACAAAAAGTAAAATGAACATACCAGGAACATATTTTATGAATGCATATATTAATTAAAAAGCATTCTCATTCCCGATCCAGCTGGACCCTCCAGCGGCCATACTCCAGGTCATAGCCGAAGACAAGGATGAGGGAGTCAACGGAAAAGTGGAGTTTAAGATCATTGAACAGAGCAAACCGGGTGAGAGTTTAAGGGACTGTTAACCAGCAGTTAAGACCTTCTGCTGCTTAAGGCCTGAAACACGTCATTTTGGATCCTCCAGATCCACTAACGGTGCTTTTAGTTACCACAGGCACCGGTCACCGTCCTCATCGAACCCGTCGTTTGCGACGAAGGGCTCGACGAGTAAATTAACCCATAGACACAGCACACTGAGTTTCTCATCGTATCTTCTCAGTGGGTCGCGTTTCCGATCCGGTGGTAGATTCTGCGAAGCACTGCTCTTGCTAAGGCCAGTGTTAGCAAACTTCGTCAGGTTTGAGCTCCGTGAGCTCACCTACTCGTTCGGTAAGGCTGATGTAGCCTCTCAAGGCTGTCAGAATAGGTACACAGCGGCTTGGCTCTGCCCCGTCTCGTCTGAAAAAAGGTAGGAAAAAAAAGGATGTAAACACATTTTAGATTTTCTAAATTTTTATTCAATAAATACAAATCGATTTCCCGCCAAGATTTTTGTGCAACATGACATCCATTGACATTTCAGATATTTAATTTTATTTAATCACCAACAGATGGCGCTTAATTTTGTTACCAACTCATCCAAACACAGAAGCTTGATACAGGGAAAGAATTAAAAATCCCAAAGCGTAAATGACTAGTACAATATCCATTGCAGTCGCGAAGAAATCTCTCGCAATCTGATCTTGAACTAATCTTCTGAGATTGGCTCGCGCCTTAGTACAGAGCTTGTTCACATGATGAAGGATTATTTCAGCAGTGTTCATGACAGTGCTAAAATTGAATGCCAAACGGTTAAATTTATTAGCACCTATCATTACCAAAAAGATAAGTTAATAATCATATTATCATAAATTGAAACATGAATTTCAGTTCACATTAAGTTAATCTTATCTTCATTTTTTTTGGTTCGGCATTATTACTCATTCGTTTATTATAGAATTTATATTGCCACAGTTTTATTTTACAATAAAGTAAGCTATAGATACCGAAGTAAATTGTAATGCGTTAAAATAAGTATTGGAATTTAGAAAACAAACCAATTAAATTTATTACAGCGCCATCTAACGTAACTATTATTCAAGGTTGTTCACAGTCAATTTGACTCTCATCTCGTTCTTGAGTAAAATTATAGATGTCTCTGTTACCTGCTTAAAAAATTCAAATAGCAAAATCATAAGAGTTATGTTAAAATTGAATACCTTGGGGTGCATCTAAGAGTCATGACACAGTTGTGTACACTGAACAGGGGCATCACCAAAGCGACTATGTACCACATGCTGTTGACTCCGGTGCATCGCGACCTGACTGTAGAACGGTGGGTCAGGTCCATCCTGAGGATTGGTGAATTCAAGACAGAGACGTGAGTAAGCAGACTGTGTACTAGTAGAAATAAAAATTGTACCCCTAAGGTGTGGATAGCTCTGAAGACGCGCGAAAAAATGACAAAGACAGACTTGCGTCTTCAAAATATAACCTCAAATTTTAATTATCAAACTTCGCCCTGAAAAGTGTGTGAATCTGAATAGATACAGATACTACGAGTACTTTCCTCTGTCTGTCGTCCAAATGTCACGCTGTTTAAAAAGTCGCATTTAATACAAGTTAGCATCGTATTTTGCATTAGCTCTGTGTGCTTAGAGCGAATTTTTTAACGTTCTCGACAGTGTAAAAGTTTACTCGAACTTGTATGCAGTTGGAATAACGCCCTTAGCGTTTTTTTCTACCTATGCTGGTAGCCTTGAAATATTATTTCAGTTTCTCCTTGACGTGATGCCCTTAGCGGCAAACATTCCAACTCAACTTTTCGCTATCTAGAACGCTATAAAGCTCGCATTAAGCACCCTGTATATCGGTACGTGTAAGGTAAGTAAGGTAAGGTATAGATAGGTATATAAGGTAATGCCGAAGTATAAGTTTCTATGTGATGCCGCAGACATCCTTTTTTTTTTAAAACACATATATAATTAGTAAACAGACAAAAAGCAAAGAAATCTGTTCATCACACAATGTTTGGCCGATGAGGGAATCGAACCCGCGACCCTCGGCACAACAGTCAGGGGCGCTAACTACTGCACCACCGAGTTAGTTTAAGCATGCATATGTTATGGTAAAAGTAGATATTGCGGCAATGTACACATTTTCCGGTAAATGTGCACATTTGCCTCCTCGTTTGGGTAATGTGCATTCAACTAACATTTACAATTTCAAAGAAGGGAAATGTACATTGAATTCACAATGATTATGTCGTTTTGGAATTTTTTTTTTTTATTGCCTTTGTATGCAGACGGGCATACGGCCCACCTGATGGTGAGTGGTTACCGTCGCCCATGGACTTCAGCAATGCCAGGGGCAGAGCCAAGCCACTGCCTACCGCTTAATATTCTCCATAAGCCTCGTTTGAAGAAGGACATGTCATAGCGCTCGGGAAACACCGTGGAGGGGAGCTCATTCCATAGCCGGATGGTACGTGGCAAAAAAGATCTCTGGAAACGCACTGTGGATGACCGCAGTGGCTCCGGGTAGTATGGATGAACTCTACTCCGGTGGCGGGCGGTGCGATGGTAAAAACGAGATGCTGGTATCATCTCGAACAATTCCTCAGAGCACTCCCCATGGAACATACGGTACAAAATACAGAGGGACGATGGTAAATGTGAGCATGGCATACGAAATCGCAAGTGCTAGTAATGTGCACTACAACCTACGACATATGCAAATAAGGTAGGTATGTTTTGTTTGTCATTTACATTTTTTTTATTAAAATAATTTTCGTTATTAAAGCCTTCTGTGTTATGTTTATTTAAATAAATATTTTTTTACTGCAACAACATTATTAATTTATTTGTATTCCAAATTTTCTTAAAACATGAAGGTAAGAGCATACATTTACCAAAACGTGACGGCAAGAGTACACATTCGCCGGGAAATGTACATAATCTAATATATAAAATTCTCGTGTCACAGTTTTCGTTGCCATACTCCTCCGAAACGGCTTGACCGATTTTGATGAAATTTTTTGTGCTTATCCGGTATCTATGAGAATCGGCCAACATCTATTTTTCATCCCCCTAAATGTTAGGGGTAGTCCACCCCTAAATTTTTATTTTTATTTTTTTGACAAAATTTTTAATTTCTATTTTTTTATGATACAACATACAAAAATACATACAACTCTAAATTTGCACTTTTTTATCACCAACCCTTGCTTTTTAATAGTCATTTTCATAATTTTATCATTTTCTATCCCGCTCGATAACATCAATTATTATCACTTGGTAAGTTATCCCCTCCATGTGTCTACCGGTGTCACTTCTCANAATTATACGTTGCATGCTCTCGAGTGGGTAAACCATCAAGTTTGTTTGTATTAACTAAAGACGGGCTAACAAAAAATATTGTTCACGCTGCAGCATTAAGGGATAAATATTATGTAATGAATTAATTATATATATAATTATTACTTTTAATAAATTAAAACAATTAATGTTTGGTGTTTTGTTATTTTTAAACAACATTCCCTCATCTTCCACAGCGCTCCAGGCCTTTTTCACTCATATTCCACATCCTTATACACTTCCAATAAGTTAGGAATTTTTTTTCTACACTAGAAATTCTCTAGAAATCTTATATATGGCAAGACAACGTTTGCCGGGTCAGCTAGTAATATATATTATATTCAGTTCACATATACCTAACTTTTTGGCAAATGTGCACATTTACTTAATTACTTAATTGTCTATCTCTGCTAGTTGAACGTGTGTGACATGTGTCCGACTATCATTATTACAATCCAAGATGTCCGATCTGACCAAAGTGGTGAGGTTTTTTTTAATTTCTTTTTTTATTGCTTAGATGGATGGACGAGCTCACAGCCCACCTGGTGTTAAGTAGTTACTTTTAGTCCATAGACATCTACAACGTAAATGCGCCACCCACCTCGAGATATAAGTTCTAAGGTCTCAGTATAGTTACAACGGCTACCCCACCCTTCGAACTGAAACGCATTACTGCTTCAACTACTACTGAGTTAAAGAAGAGTCAAGAAAAAGTGTACACTATTTACATGCTGTCCTGAACCCCAGTGCTTTGGGTCGTTGAGGACTCTTGCGGCCTCACCCATCTGTCCACGTCTCTGCCAAGAGCACTCACATCGTTGTCCAGAATGTGTGACGATGAAGAGCCTGCAACCTATTGGAGAATGAACATTAAGTCTTAGGACTAGCGTATACGTACCAGCAGCCTGCCTATATGCGTTTGTAAACGCGTGCCTATTACTTTCCGACCTCAAACAAAATGTTACGCCGGGCGGTAAGAGTAACGCCATCTATCGCCACATAGCCGAAACGATTATCAAATAAACTCGTAACGTCAAAAGGCTCGCGAAGTACAACGCCATCTATTGTCAGATAACGGAAACACATATCGAAACTACTCGACTTGCACAGAATGCTCTCGATAAATCTAGGGATGTCGTCTCGACTATAAAAGCGTTGCAGAGATGGCACGAAGCAGTCAGTAATCGGAACTACTCGAAGCGAAACAGCGATCGGCTCACCTAAGGCGAAGGGGAGGAAGTGAATCGAGAATCTTAAAGTGTTCGTTAAGTGTTCTAACTGATGAATACAGTTTTAGTTTGTGCTTCGGTAAATTTTTTCTTTATCCCGAACCCTAGCGCGTAACAAAAACAATGCGATTCAAAGCGAACAGCTTGTAATTAAGAGAGTTTAGCTATGCCCCAAAACGAACAAATAGTCACACAGCAATGCTTACATTCGACTCTGACGTCTCCTGCGCTCCATCATTTCGGATCTCAGTCTCTTCTATTTGACTGGTGCGGTTCTGTATCGCGAAACCACCTTCGGAGCTCTCGCCATGAACATTTCTCCGACGGAAACGATCATCATAATAATTCCTTGTATATCGCAAAGACATTGAAACGCTTCTGTTCAACCCTGAAATTAAGTCAACACATTATGTTTAAACGATTTCAAATGCTAAAAATGTTAGAGCTCAACTTTTTTTTTCCTACCTAAACTGATGGTCTTGATGATGGTCCATTTCAGCGTAACCTTAACAAATAGGGGAGCTCACGGGGCTCAAACCTGATGTCGTTGCTAAAACTAACCCTTGATATTATATCTGTGTACAAACCCTAGCAAGAGCAGTGCTTCCCCGAATCTACCACCGGATCGGAATCGTGACTTACTGAGAAGATCCGCCGAGAATCTCAGCGGGCTGACGTATGGATTAAGTTGCACGTGGAACTCTTTGTCGAGTTCAACGAGTACGGGTACCGGGACCCTAAGCCTGCTCTATGTGTTACAGCTGAAGGCATCTAATGCAAGAGTTATTGGATCTGACGGATCCGTTAGAACTTGTCTAGGGCATCTTATTGTCTATGACCATACCCGATCCTGTGGACCGAATGTTAAACAGTCGACGTCGCCCTAAGCACGTCATTACGGATCCTCCCGATCCATTAACGGTGCTTTTAGGTACCTCAAGCACCGGTACCCGTCCCAAGCCCGTCGCTTGTGACGAAGGGCTCGACGAGTAAATTAACCCATAGACACAGCCCACTGAGTTTCTCGCCGCATCTTTTCAGTGGGTCGCGTTTCTGATCCGGTAAACATCAAAGTTTACTCTAGTTAATATTGGCAGTTCGATTTTTACGATGTTGTTTTTCATCGAAGTCTTCAGTCAACAATTACAATTGCGCGGGGTTTTGTCAGATATTTATGAATTCAGCCTATCAACTTTACATTAATTCGTAACTCAAACAATCAGCTCTCACCTTCAAACTGAGCCGGAAATTTCAGTGCTTAATGATGGAGATGGCTTAAGAAATATACACTCGTAAATTTTTCATTATTTAAAAAAATAAATTAACTAAACTGACTACAATTTTTTTAGTGTTTCACTAGAATTTTTCTTACATCGACCCGCTGGTATTTACTAATATTTTCTATACGTCATTGTTGAGGAATTTTTGACATCAATGTCAAATTAAAATACTACAAATATTCCTCTTTGTTTACTTATTGATAGAAGAAAATAGTAGAGGTCAGTGTTTAACAGGATTTCATAGTAATAAATTCAGTAGAAAATAATTATTTTGAATGATTTTAGTTTTAATGAAATGTGTCATGGCGTCCGAAATCATTGATTAAAAATAATAAGTCAATGTCTTTGCCTCAATTGGCAAGTTTCTTTTAAGCCGGTAAGTATGTTTAGAATTTAAACAGATAGTTTAATTAATTAATTATACATTCCGATCTCGGGACTAAAGTAACTCAAATTATTTCATCATAAATCTCTTAACACGGAAGCCCGTAAAGTCTACGGGACTACAAAATTAACTTTTTTTTTTGTATATCATACGATTCCTTTAAATGTCAATGTGAAAGGCGCGAACTGTCGATGGCCATTGTTTGAATACGTTTTCAAATTTACGAATGTTCATGACCCCCGTCGCGCCATTATTCGAGGTTGCCAGTGTGAAAAGTTATTATCAAATAATCAATTGAATTCGGTTTTTTTTTCGTTGATTAGATTATTTAGATACATTTGTCTTTTTTTCTGAAGTAAAAAAAAAACTAAATGCAAAGAACTCGTATCGTCGTTGTCAAACCAAAATCTGCTATGTGCACTTTTTGAGATTTTTACTTTTTGTCCTTTTCGTATAGTTCACAGCCCTATCTACCGTATAAAAAAAACTGTTATGTGTCTATAGCTTTAATATTTATCTATAGGTTTCATTTGGTATAGTTCTTTAAAATTCACCTTCATATAAAATTTAATACGAAAATGTTTTTACTCGTTAATTCAAAAATTTATTTTTTATTGCTTAGATGGGTGGACGAGCTGACAGCCCACCTGATGTTAAGTGGTTACTGGAGCCCATAGACATCCACAACGTAAATGCGCCGCCCACCTTTGAGATACAAGTTCTAAGGTCTCAAGTATAGTAACGACGGCTGCCCCACCCTTCAAACCGAAACGCATTACTGCTTCACGGCAGAAATAGGCAGGGCGGTGGTACCCACCCGCGCGGACTCACAAGAGGTCCTACCACCAGTAATATAGAGTTTTTGCACATTTTAGTTTGACAGTGACGATAATCAATGTTATACCGATCAAGCCCCGGTTTATATTGGCATAACGACGACAGTAAAATCCCTAATATGAGTTTACACAGCAACAAAGTCATTTTTTTTTTTTTTTTTTTTTTTTTATTGCCCTTGTAGGCAGACGAGCATACGGCCCACCTGATGGTGAGTGGTTACCGTCGCCCATGGACTTCAGCAGTCGCCCATGGACTTCAGCAATGCCAGGGGCAGAGCCAAGCCGCTGCCTACCGTTTAATACTCTCCACAAGCCTCGTTTGAAGAAGGACATGTCATAGCGCTCGGGAAACACCGTGGAGGGGAGCTCATTCCATAGCCGGATGGTACGTGGCAAAAAAGACCTCTGGAAACGCACTGTGGATGACCGCAGTGGCTCCAGGTAGTATGGATGAACTCTACTCCGGTGGCGGGCGGTGCGATGGTAAAAACGAGATGCCGGTATCATCTCGAACAATTCCTCAGAGCACTCCCCATGGAACATACGGTACAAAATACAGAGGGAACCGAAGTCCCTCCGCAGACCCAGAGGCTCCAAACGATCCGTGAGAATGGGACTATCGACAATCCGAACGGCCCTCCTCTGTATGGAGTCAAATGGAAGAAGCTGGTATTTGGGAGCCCCGGCCCAGAGATGGGAGCAGTACTCCACGCGAGGCCGGACTTGTGCTTTATAAAGCAAAAGCTTTCACAACTCTCGCACAATTTACTCAATCGCATTGCGAAAAGAGATTGCTTCATTATGTCAATAAGTGTCAATTGTCACACATCAACTTGATGACTTAATTGTGAGACAACAAAAAGCCTGGATAATAAACGAGAGTTGCCATTACTGAGATATCGTGGAATTTATTTTTTTATTTTGTAGTGTTTTTATTGGCTGACAACTTAAAGCAAAGGTGCAGGTACAGCCAATGTGTTTTACCAATGCTGACTTACGGTTTCGAGACGTGGTGCTTCACAAGGGATCTTTTTAGGAAGCTTAGTGTTGCGCAGCGAGCTATGGAGAGGGCTATACTTGGTATTTCTCTGCAAGACCGAAATAGAAATGAGGAGATCCATATAAGAACCAAAATTACTGACACAGACCGTAGGATTAGCAAGCTAAAGTGGCAGTGGGCAGGCCACATATCGCGAAGATAGGACGGCCGATGGGGCAGAAATATCCTCGAGTGTGGACCACGTACTGGCAAGCGCAAGGAATAGCCATCTACCAAATGGACCGAGGACCTAGTGAGAATCGCTGGGTCACGTTGGATGCAGGTGGCAACGGACCAGTCGCACTGGAGATCGATTGGAGGGGCCTTTGTTCAGTAATGGACATTAGACAGGCTGAGACGATAATGATGGCGATTTTGAGCTGTGAAGGAAGATGGTAACTATGGTGTTATCGTTGGCACGTTGAGTCTATCAGGCTCGATTGGCGATGTTGGTCTTGCTATTACTGGCCAATAGGATTTTGGTAAGTAGATTCAACGACAGTTGTCAGCGGTCAGTTATCGGTGCTAAGAAGCACCCAAACATACACTGACGAAAATGACAATAGATAGAAATAATACTACGTAACCAAATAATCTATACTATCTATACTAATATTATAAAGAGGAAACATTTGTTTGTTTGTTTGTATTGAATAGGCTCCGAAAGTACTGAACCGATTTGAAAAAAAAATTCACTGTTTGGAAGCTACACTATCCCCAAGTTACATAGGCTATAGTCTTTTTTTTAAATTAGGGATTTTTACTAAAACTCCAATAATGTAACCCAAGGTGTAAAAATTTACCTAAAATATTCTTTACATCGCGCGCGCTGCGAAAACTATTGATGATAGAATAAAATAATGTACTTTACCCTGACGCAAATTGAATTGATTTGCGTGTATTATGATTTATAATTTTGATTTTTTTATTAAAGATCCAAGCGAAGCTGGAGCGGGCTGCTAGTGTATAAATAAATAGATGACGATACTCAATACGGGTGTGTTTATAGTTGAACTAGATTAAAATGTATAAAATAAACCGTTTAATGGCGCTAATAGGAAGGAGGAAGAAGAGTCTACGAATTAAAACTTCTATTCAACACAAAGTGGATTCACATTAAATGCGAACCATGCTTTATTGAACTAAAGTGTCAATTTCAATTATGACAGATAAGCATTTTTTTCTTCTTTGAAACATCATTCGTCATTCACAGCACGAGTGGGCGTGCAAAATCAAAAATCCATCGAAAGCTGAATCCGAAAGTGAAACCCGCCAATTTTTTTTTTTTAGTCAATCTTGGTTTTTTTTTCGCTTTGGCAACACAGCGGTAGTCGGTGGACCCGCGGCGGGAAGCCTTGCTACCGTGACGTTAGGTGTTGATCGATTTTCGATTGCTCTAGTATTGTGATTGTGAGCTTTTCGAAGTTTTTGCATAAGATGTCAAGTAACGAAAGACAATCTGATTTCATCCAATCTGTTCGTATGCAAGCCTTTTTATTTAAGGATACATTGTACAGGATGGAAATGATCATAAATGAAAACAACTTGGCCTTAATCTTGTCCCAATAATTATTAAAAAAAAAGTTTTTGCGAACACTAAAAAAATATCTTACATTCAGAATTGGTAGTACCATAAATGTAGCGAAAAAAACGGTAAAATATATGTTAGGTACGTATTTGAAAAATTGGTAGTTGCCTGCGGGCTTCGAACACCGGCACAGACGTATCGCCCGATACGAATGCACCGCGCTTCTTATCCTTTAGGCCACGACGAGCTATTTAAAAAACTGCCCATAATATGTGATAGTAAAATGTTTTTCAACCCTTC